CTCTGTGAAGGGCAACCGTGTTTTTGGTGTTTGGCCCCAACTCTTGTCCCATGGGGTCCCCCAAGGCTGTAAATCTTTGTGGAGCCAGACTGCCTTATCTTTTTCCTAAGGAGCATCTGGTGAGTTTGAACCACCAACCTTTAGGCTTTGTGACCATAGTGTCTGGAGACAACTTAGACAATTGGCAGAACAAAAGTTCACAAAGATAATGTTCTACATGAGAGTTTGATGCCATCAAGTTGATTCTGACTCATTGTGACTATGTCAGACTAGAATTGTGCTCCATAGAGTTTTCAATAGCTATTCAGAAATAGATCACCACACTCTTCTGAGATACCTACCTCTAGGTAGAATCAAATTGTCATACTTTTAGTGAGCAGCTGAATGTGTTAACTTTTTGCACTCCAACAATAGGTGCAGTCTACTTGGTTACCCCTAAAATCTGAGCTGGCTTTGTGATATGCTTTAATAAAATTTGACATTAGTGATGTTGTGTGACTTTCCAGGCTAGGACTTTAAGAGAGTTTACAACTTCAACTAGAGGAGCTCTGGTAGCATAGTGGTTATGAATTGGGCTGCGAACCACAAGGTCAGCAGTTCTAAGCTACCAGCCGCTCTGTGGGTGAAAGATGAGGCTTTCTGCTCCCATAAAGATTTATAGCCTCAGAAACCCAGTACAGGGTCGCTATGGGTTGGAACCGACTCAATGGCACACAACAACTTCAACTGTCATCCTTTTGGGCATGCTTCCTTCACCATATAGAGAAGCACGGGCTAGCACTGCTGATGGGAGACCACAAGGAAACAGGGGCCCTGTTGAGGGCCAGTACCATCCACCAGGCATGTGAGTGAGGCCTTCTAGGACCAGTTAGCCCTCACCTGACCTGTCAACTGACTGCAAACTTACGGTGTCCAGCTCAGTACCACCCAAAATGTCAACACAAAATCATGAGCAAATAAATGACTTTGTTTTAAGCCAGTAAGTTTTTGGAGCATTTATTATACAGATAATTGATATAACTATTTATGTAGAATGATGACTTCAAAACCAGTTTCTGAAGAGACTTCTGCTATCAGTCATGATAGAGTAGCAGTGACTGGATTTAGCCTTCTTCCTGAAAAACAAGAATAATGCATATATGTGAAATATATATTTTATATATATTGGACAATAGGCAATGTAGGGTAGTTCCCCTGGATAGAAGAGAAAAAGTAAAGCTTTATTATTGCCCCCAACTTGTTCCTTAGGATTTCCAGAATGTAGCATAGGGAGGGGGGTTGAAGAAAGCTCCCAAAAGGAGTAGAGCTGCATATTTGGGAAGACTAGAGTGGTATGCATGGGTTACGGGATAGAGGTGAATAGTGACATATACACAACCTTGGAACAACAGTGTTCTGTGTGTGGATATATGGTCAGAGATATATGGCTGAGTGGGTAAGGGAGGAAGTGAGACATACATTTATTTGTATATCCCACAAATACATAAAAATTTGAAAGAGAATATTTGTACATGAGTATTTACCTTTCCTGCAAACACAACTATATGGTAGAGCATACAGCAGGTATAATGAGGAAAACTTCCTAGATATTATGAAACAGCTTACGACAATAAGTTGATGCGCCCAGGGTTCAGGACATAGTCTCAGAGGACACCATGGTCAGTAGGCATAAAACACTCGAGAAAGACAATGCTCTACATCTTATTTGGGTGAGTAGCATCTAGGATCTTGAAAGTCTACGAACAGCTATTAGTCTCTCCATGTGTGGAAGAAAGAATTGATAAGAATTGAAGAGGCTTGGAATCAATTAGTCCCACGGACTAATGGAACAAGTGAACATCAGTCGCTACAACTCTGAGACCAGAAGAACTAGACAGTGCCCGGCTGTTTTAGCAGTGGAACAAGGGATATCATTGCTGATGTCCAATGGATCCTGGCTGAAAGCAGAGAATACTAGAAAGATGTTTACCTGTGCTTTACTAACTACACAAAGGCTTTTGATTGTGTGGATCATGACAAGCTATGGACAACATTGTGAAGTATGAGTATTCCAGAACACAACTGAGCTCATGAGGAATCTGTACCTGGACCAAGAGGCAGTTGTTCGAACAGAACATGGAAACACTGAATGGTTTAAAATTAAGACAATGTGCGACAGCATTGTATTCTTTCACCATACTTATTCAACCTGTATGCTGAGCAAATAATACGAGAAGCTGGGTTATATGAAAAAAAAACATGACATCAGGATTGGAGGAAGACTCATTAACAACCTGCGATACGCAGATGATACAACCTTGCTTGCTGAAAGTGAAGAGGACTTAAAACATTTACTGATGAAGATCAAAGAGCACAGCCTTCCACATGGATTGCATCTCAATGTAAAGAAAATAAAAATCCTCACCACTGGATCAATAAACAACATTCTTATCAATGGAGAAAAGATTGAAGTTGTCAAGGACTTCATTCTTCTTGGATCAACTATCAACACTCATGGAAGCTGCAGTCAAGAAACCAAACGGTGTATTGCATTAGGCAAATCTGCTGCACAAAGACTTTTTTAAAGCATCGAAGAGCAAAGATGTCAGCTTGAGGACTAAGGTGCGCCTGACCCAAGCCATAGTATTTTCAACAACCTCATATGCATATGCGAAAGCTGGACAGTAAATAAGAAAGACCGTAGAAAAATTGATGCTTTTGAGTTATGGTGTTGGAGGAGAATATTCAAAGTGCTATGGGATACCAAAAGAACCAACAGATCTGTGTTGGAAGAAGTGTAGCCAGAGTACTCCTTGGAGGCCAAGATGGCCAAACTTCATCTCTCTTACTTCAGACATATTGTCAGGAAGGACCAGTTGCTGGAGAAGGATATCATGTTTGATAAGGTGGAGTGTCAAAGAACAAGAGGAAGACCCCCAGCAAGATGGACTAGCAAAGCAGCAGCATCAGTGGGCTCAAGCGTGGCAACAATTGTGAGTTTGGCCCAGGATTGGGCAGTGTTTTGTTCTGTTGTGCATAGGGTCGCTATGAGTCGGTACTAACTCAATGGCACCTAACAACAACAATAGATAACTAAGATATTCTATGTCTCGATTTCCTCATTCATTAAGTGAACAATGCACTGGATTACAAAGTCAGTTTTAACTGCAAGGTCGATGGTTCAAACCCAACAGCTACTCCTTGGAAACCCTATCCATGGTCACGATGGCTCAGAACCAACTTGACAACACTTAACAACAAGAGTGGCGAGAGTAATAAAAAAATCATAAAGTTGTTACCAGGACTAAATAAACCAGGATTATGTGAGGGTGTGCCAAAAAGTTCGTGGAAAAATGGAATTTCCCACAAATTTTTGAAGCATGTTTGTATAGAGCAAAGAGCATAGAGCAAAAATAAAAACTCTAACTGAATGTATGGGCGTGGAAGACACTGTCAAAGCCAAAGGTACGTAAGATGAGAAGAGGTTCAAAAAAAGAATCATGGACAACACCAGCACTTAGTGAGACAAACACAGGATAGGTGTAATAACACAATAACTTTCAAAATAGTTTAACAAATAGAATCTCAATTGATCCTCAGACATACCTTGTAGAGTAATAGGACAGACTGCAGATAGGAAATCAGATGATCCAAGGTATTAGGAACTTGACACAAAGCGTCAGAAACAGAATTTGAACCCAAGTGAAGATTCCTGTTCAGATTCTGACCCTATATAAGCCACATGCTTTATCTGGGCCCACTCTTCTTCAAGTGTCCTTCCCCATCACATATCCTATGTCATTCTTTTACCTCCCACAACTTGCTTTCATGAAGATCATTGATCATTTAAACTTGAATTTTATGAATATTGTATAGTCCAAGTTGTCGGCACTGTACAGTCTAATCGCTTATTATGGAACGACTGCATCCCTAAGGAGGTGCAGGCAGCTACAAAAGGTAGGGAAGATACACTAAGGGAAATCAGGTAATTGCGTTCTCTATAATCATGGGGACAAGGCAACAACCTACCCCCCAGATGGAGTTTTATGGGCAATGTGTGCAGAGATAATAATAGAGCTGCTAAGTAAAAAAGTGTAAAAATGGCAGTTATTACATATAATAACTTTTAGTTATACATACTGGCACAGACAGGCTTAGTAGCTTTCCTAGGGCTACACAGCTCCTTGGTTTCAGAGTGCACAGAAACCAATGTTCCTTCCACTAAACCACTCTGATTTTTTTTTCTCCAGAGATAGAAATATGCATATGTGCTATTTTACTTTCTTATGGACGAAAATAAAAACTTGCAGAACGACAACCAAATAAAGTTGTCTGTACGTTATTAATTTCTATTCTGTAACAGCATCAGAAATGCAGACTTTGAAATCATAGATTCAGGAGGCAATTCTGACTCTGCGACGGGGCGTTGGGAAAGGTACTTAATCCCTCTGAGTTTCGGTTTCCACACATCTAAGAAAGTAACACCTACTCTCGGTATTTCTTGAGAAGATTAAATGACAGCCAAAGCGACCGGCACAGAACAAAGATTCAGTAAATATTACACTAAGCCTTCCCCAAAAACAAAGCTTTTGAATGTATTTCATTCTTCTGCGGCTACTCTAGGAAGAGATCAACTGAGTTCCCACGCCTGCCGAGCCCACGTCGCTGGAGGGCGAGGACAGCAGGAAGGACCCGGTGAGAGGCCGGCTCCGCCCCACTCGGGCGGCCCGCGCGCCTGATCGCTTTCGCTTCTGTCCGTCCCGTCCTGCGCGCCCAAATCAGCAGTCGGGAGCGCCTTTTTCTACCTTGTTCCCAAGACAACAATGCCTGCGAGTATTTGAGTGCATCGCTAAATGAGGCATATCTTGGGACAGCCGCAACCAGGCGCGCCGCAGCTGCGAAGCCCCTTACGCCGCCGTCGCCGCGCCGAAGCCCCGGTCCCGCCCCCTAGCTCTAAGAGAGCTGAGGCCGTTCGGCCGCGGGTCTACTCCCTCATCCTAATTCCTCTTCTTGTCCTCATTATGCCTCTGTACGAGGGCCTGGGAAGCGGAGGGGAGAAAACGGCAGTGGTCATAGACTTGGGAGAGGCTTTTACCAAGTGAGTGTCGCGGCGCCGGCTGCTATCGGCCTGAGGGGAGGGCGGGCAGCCGAGCCCCAGTTCTGGGCCGGGTCCCCATTGCAGGCTTGCAGGCATGGTCGCCACGAGCGCCTGGGACAGTTTTAAATTGCTCCCCACCCCCCAAATTGGAGCGCCCAGGAGCAAGCTCTAAATAGCATCTCCTGATTCCCAATTTCAAAATTAATAGACTGGGATGACAGCGTCGCGTCAGCAGAAACGCTTCCCCTTTCTTGCCTGACTGCCTCTCCTGGGAATGTCATTCGGCCCCTCTTCTGATTTGCTCCAGGGGCAAGTACCCCTCTCTATCCGCCAGCCGCCCACCCTCTGCCCGCTACGCTTCTGGATATCTGGTATGGTTGGCCCGTACAAGCTTAATAGAAAATGCTCAGTTGCACCCATGCCTGCAAGATCTTAGCTGCACCGGGCCTCTGCTGGCAGAGCCGCTCTGCGGTCACCGCACTTGCTCCCCCAGCACCCACAGCAAATGACAGTATTACGTCCGCTCTGGCGGAAGAAAAGAGTCAGGGGTGCGGGCATGGTCTCACTCCTAGAGGAGCCCTGGAGGCTTCGGGAGACTTGCCTTTTTAGCCACCTCTGCTGGCCCCAAAACCGAACGGACCCTTGGGATCATTGGTGCTGGGATGCCAGTTTAGCCAGTGTTTGCTTAAAAGAGAGGAAAGTGACCCGCAGAATTGCATTTGAAAAATACCCACTAGTTTTTTTTGTTTTCAATAATCATTTATGGCTAGTTAACTTAGAGTCATGGCAACCCCATATGTTGCAGAGTAAAACTGCTCTGTAGGGTTTCATGACTAACAACTTTATGGCAGCAGATTGCTGGGCGTTTCTCCTTTGTGCCACTATGCTCCACTGCCATCAGATTGATCCCCACTCATAGCGACCCTACAGAACGGACTCGAACTGCTCCTTAGAGTTTCTGAGACTGTAAATCTTTAAAGGAGCAGAGAGCCTCATCTTTCTCCCGTGGAGCAGCTGGTGGGTTTGAATTGCAACCTTGTGCTTAGCAGCCTGGGTGTGTTCAAACCACCAACTTCTAGGTTATAATTCCAGCACGAGCTGTCTGTGCCACCCAGGGACTTTGGCTAAAATATAAACCCCAAACTAAACCCATTGCCTTTGAATTGATTCCAACGCATAGTGATTCTACAAACCCCACTGCCATTGAGTCTGTGCCTAGGAAACCATATAAAGGGTTTCCTGTGGGATTGTAAGAAAGCATCTTCTTTCTCCCTTGGATTAGCTGGTGAATTCAAACTGCTGGCCTTGCATTTAACTATATAAATCATGCCCAGGACTCATTCTAGTGATTATATGACAATCAAACTGTCCCTACAGTTTCTAAGACTAAAACCTCACCGAAGTAGACTGCTACAGCTTACTCTTTCAGAGCAGCTGGTAGGTTCAAACCAATAACCTTTTGGTTAGCAGATGAATGTTTAATCACTGCACTCCCCGAGCTCCCTTACTGCAGTATGTTTTGTTGTTATTAAGTGCCATTGAGACGGTTCCAACTCATACTGTCACTGTATAGGACTTCTAAGGAGTGACTAGTGAGTTCAAACCATTGGCCTTGCACTTAGCAGTCCAGTGTTTATCCTACAGTGCCACACCAGGACTCCTACAAAAATATGTTGTTGTTAAGCACTGTGGAGTCGAATCCGACTCATAGCAACCCTATATAGGGTTTCTGAGAAGTGGCTGATGGGTTTGAATTGCCAACCTTGCAAATGTAGTTGATATTTAATAGCTCTTTATCTAAATCAGTAGCTATCTAATTTTTCAATAGGCTAATCAGAACACCCTATTTTTAAAAAATGATCCACAGATACTCCAGAATTTGATTTAAAATAGTCCTTAGTTTATGACGCTCTTATTCTGTATAAGACTCTTATTCATTTCTATTTTTAATAGTACAACAAATACTTTAAGGTTATCATACAACTACAATTAGTCTGAGGAAAACAGAAAGCTATCAGGAAGATGATTATTGAGAAACACAGCAGGAATGTGGTAAGAT